TGTGCCTGCGCCTCCAGCCTACCACACCATCTCTGATCCACTCTTTTACTGGTGGAGTGTGGCTTGTCTCTGTACTTCCGTCCATCTCTGGTGACTCAAGCTCATATTGCAGACCAGCTGGGAATGAGGTCACTAGTTTGGAATAAAAAGCTCCCGATACTGACAAATTAACAAGAGCTGCAGCCGGTATCGCTTGAGGTTCTGGCAAGGCAGCCATGAGGCCATGAAGCTGACGGAGCCGTGTGCCTGCGCAGGTGGAGCTGGAGAGGAGTCTGCTGTCGGACCACGAGCTGCGGTTGCTGGAGGACGCGGAGCGCGTGATCCGCAAGCAGGCGGAGGACTATGACTCAGACGAGGAGGAGGGCAGTGAGCGGGACATTGTCACTGTACAGGACCTGGAGGACTCCTGGGACCAGAAGCTGAGGCAGTTTCAACCGGCCTCCAGGATCACAGGTCTGTTTCTCTTTTTCTAGTGTCAATGGTGACATTGTCAGTCAGGCGCTGCCCTGTGGGGAAGAATAGGTTGAGGTACTTTATTAGTTGACAGTGTGCAGAGCAGTGTCCTAGAAAGAGGTAATGGAATCCTGTGACTGTGTTTGGAGTACCAGGTCAGATGGTAACCAGTTGGGTTTAATCCCTAAAGATTTTACAAAGCCAAGCTCACAGTGTAGGTGTTTTCTTTTATTTGTGTTGGGTTTGTTTCGCAGTTCCCATAGTTAAATAACATGCATCTTGCAAGCACTATTAGACAGCTAATAGTTCAAGCACTGAAATAATTAAGAAGGCAGGCTGGAGGAAGCAGCCCCTTTGCATGCAGCGGCTTCTGGGAAGTGAGTGCCCTAGTCTCCAGAACCTGACAGAATGGGAACAGGATAATGTCCTTTAAAAGGTTCAGGCAGCCCTGGTCCTGTGTGTCATCATCTGAGAGCTGCTCTTCAGAGTGCGTGTCTGGCTGGTGACGACACTGACACAGCCTGTGTTGCAGAGGCAGACCAGAAGAA